GTCTTCCGGCGCCGGGTCACTGGCGGGCGAGCGAGACAGGGCGTCTGGGATGCAGTGCATCACTCCTTTTTGCCAGCTGGTGGTGAAGCTGTACGGTGTTAGCTACTCTCTGAGGCGGTGTAGTCGGGATTGTCGATTCGCGTGAGCCGTTTCGAGTTGAGTATCGGTACCAGCGGTCCATTATCTACCACCACATCAAAGTGCTGGAGGCCGGCCAGGTACGTGTAGCATTTACGGCACGCCCACAGGACAGCCAGACGCTCGAGTTCGATGACCGAGTATCGTGACCCTGTGTCCGTCAGAAACTGAGATCCGCACTGTATCATCTTCCAGGTACCTGCATGCCACTGCATAAGCGCGAAACCGAGGCTGCGCGTCCGGGAGGCGTCGGTGTGCAGCGCCGTCTGGCGAGCGGCTCGAAGAAGACCAGGACAGGCGACGCCACCAGCGCCTTCTTCACACTCTGGAACGTGTCTTCGTGTAGGACAGTCCAGTTCCACGCCGTCTTCTGATTCAGCAGGTCTCGTAGAGGCTGAGCTAGGCTGGTGAGCTCCGACGAGAAGCCGCTCAACTGGTTTGTGAGTCCCATGAAGGACCGGAGGTCGGTCACATTCTTCGGCCGTAGGAACTTGGAGACAGCTCTCAGTTTGCCGCCATCCACTGTGTAGCCGTGCTCAGTGATGCGTGAACCACATAAGTCCAGTGCGTGTTGTGCAAACTGAAACTTCTTTTGGTTGAGTGTGATAACGCCGTCGGCACAGCTCTCGAGGATGGTAATCTCGAGTCATCTGAAGTCTGATGTCTGAATAATGATGACTTCATCAGATTATGATCGCGAGCCAAATGAGCCCGGTAGCATGCGTCATAGGCCAACACGTCATCGACGATCTTCACCGCCTGTGGAATGTCCCCGAATGCTTCATCTCCAGGTCGGTTGTAGACGTCCATGGAGCTGACCAGGCCCGTAAGACAGCGGATATACCGCATACGGCCGTACGGGTGATGAAGCATGTCAGGTCGCGACAGTGCTCCGCGATCTGGATTTGGTGACAACCCATCTGGGCGTCCAGCGTGGTGAGCCACCGAGCATCGCCGGAGATACCGGCTACGGCATCGTTGACGGGTCTGGCCGGATGCCTTGGTCGTTTTACGAACTTGTTGAGACGAGTTAGGTCCACGCAGAGTCGGACTCCGCCACCTATCTTAGCGACTGGTACCAGCAGATGCGTCGATTCTGTCGCAGGATCTACTAGCTTGATGATCACCTGGGCTTGTAGGTCGTCGAGCTGATTTTTGACGCCGTCCCGCCAGCAGTACAGGATGGACCGAGCCGCGGCGATGGCGGATGGCTCAGCATCGTCCGTCAGCTCGGTCTCCATGGGACCACCCGCCATCTCAGGCGATGTCTGCTCGCCATCGAACACACTTTGGGAGTGCGATAGCAGCAAGGCTTCATGCTCACGGACGACCTCCACCGGTGGATCGTGAGCACGTTCCCAAACAGGGAGTGACTTCCACAGATGGGCTGCTGGTTCGGGAGGCGACCGAGGCACCGCCCGCCTCCCGCCAGGCGCGTCGGCTCTGGTGGGCAGGCCCGCTCCAGCAGCGGCGGCCTGACACACAGCCACTCGCGCGGGGATCTGAGCGGGGAAGTCGCCTGACAGAATCCGCAGACAGACGCTGTCTCTCCAGCTGAGCAGGAATCCGGGCACCTCCCTTAGCACGTGTACGGCGGTGGCGCTCTGACTGTCGCCCAGGGCCACCGTCGCATCGAACTGTCCAACACAGATGAGCGGGGCGCGGTCAGCTGACGTGAATTTAGCGGCATCCGCGACAGGCGTCATCATGCCAGCCGTTATGCGCAGAAATGCCGCCATGTCCGACCCCATGACAGTGGCCTCGGCTCCTGTGTCCGGTGTGCACGTCACCGCTGTCTCTCCGGCGGGGTGCGAGAGACTGATCTCGAATATCGATGTGGGCCGGGCGGAGATGCTCTCCACACACACATCGACCAGGACCAACCGCACCCCGGCCCCTCCCGTGTTCGCATCGGCCCGGTCGAGGCCCGCCGTGCCTCGCTGGCTGTAATCCGACCGCGATCCGTCTCGTTCCCGCCCCGACGGCCGCTGGCTGCGCGGTGAGTCGCCACAGTCACGTACGGCGGCTCGGGGTTTTCTCTGCCAGTGCACCCCAACTCTGGCGCCCCTCGACCCGCCCGTACGGCCGGCCGCCTGGGGCGGTGACCTGTGCGGCGGCCGGGTCTCTCTGTCGCGGGAGGGCGTCTGCTCTTGTTGTGGGTCGGTACACGCCACAGCGAAATGCCCCGTTTCGCCACAGCCATGACAGGCGGCACCAGCCGCCGGGCAGCGTTCTCTGTTTGAGTGCTGTCTCCTTCCACAGCGCGGGGACGTTTTACGCTGCTGCTGCTGCTGCCGATATGCAGACAACCTTCCCACATAACATAACATCCCTTCCCACTGGTAACCTTCCCACATTCCCACGCTTCCTAAGAACAGTTTCACCTCGCAGCGCGGCACTGTTCATACTAGCAGTCTCACTAGCACGACACATGTCCAGGACTCGCTGCAGGTTTAGCTCCGGTTCCAGAAGCTTGCGCTTTAAGGCTTCGTCATCCTGTGTGCCAGGCACGATTCTGTCCCTGAACTGCATGTCCTCACGCGAGCTACAAAGGCAACAGTACGCCGCGATTTCTTAAATCGCACACAGGAAATCATCAAATGTTTCTCCTGGCCTCTGCGTCCGAGCAGAAAACTCGCGCCAGTCCAGGATAACGCTGCGCTGACCGCGTAGGTATCCCTCCATGGCGGCCAGCACGCCCTCGATGTCGGCCCCCGGTGCGATCTGCAGGTAGTACCGCACGAACCTGGCCCAGTCATCGCCCAGCAACGACATGAATACGGCCCTCTGCTCTTCGACCGGTATTGAGTCGAGCCGGGTGAGCAGCCCATAATCGCACATTTTCTGCCGCCAGGCTCCAAGCTCTCTCAGCGACGCTGCCGATGTCAGGTGCGCTGCGTGGATGGCGCCGGCTGGGAGACGTGCGGGTGCGGCAGCAGCCGCAGTCTGCACGACCGCGTCGGCATCGACCGGCGGTGGAGCTGCTGGACGTTCCTGCGTCAGAGCACGCTCCAAAATCGCCGTCAGTTGCACGTCAGGCTGCGAGGCCTCCTGTTGGGCCTGGGCGGCCATCTCCGACTGCCGCTCGAGCAGCGCCGTTAGGCGCGCTACGTGCTCCTCACTTTCCTTCATGGCACGAGTCCGTCACCACTCGCTGTGACACGATCACACGCAATCACACGCTGTACACCCGTGTTATCATGGTCCTACCGACCGCGCCATGTTCGGTCTCAATGCATGTTACACGGAGGCGCGCCGCGTGCGAGCGCGGATATATCCTGACTCTCCCCCTCGGCGCCAGCCGCCGCACCGTGGCGCTAGTGGCGCCCGGCGCACATCATGCCAGATTGACACCAAACCAAGCAGGGTTAAAGTTTTGTTTGTTGCTCGGTCAGCTCCTGTTGAATCGAGGCACTAAGACCTAACATTAGACTCTTCTCTAAATTGGGGACCCATTCGCGGAAAATTTTGCGCAAACGCGAGCATTGGTTCTTTAAAAAGTGATGAATTGTGCTACCTTACATACTCAATGTGATGTTTAGTGCAAGTGCGAGAAGAGAAACACATTTCGTTTGTTCATATTACATTTGAACATGAAACGTTTGAGAAGATAGACACATTATGCGTGTATGTTCGTACCATTACATCTCAGAACATTTCCATTACATCTCAGCTTATCTCCATCACATCTCGGCTTGTAGTGCTTCATCACTTTGGTTCGGTATTTGTTGATTCTTCTTTGATTGCAAATGCATTGGGAGTAATAATCCTGGATATTAGAAGTTATGTAGTTACGTCCTTTCCTAGGGAGCACATGAAGCAGAGGTAAAAGGTTTAATAACACCTCTGTTTTCTCAGGAAAAGTTGCGGAGCCTTGGAAACCATGTTACCAGATTCGTGTGTCGGATCGTGTTTTACGTCAGGGCCAATGACTGCTATGTTGCTGAGATACACTGATGCAAATAACTTTATCAGTCCTAGTCCCATAAACTTAACGTTGGCTTTGCTTCTGGAAACCTAATTTTCGGTGACGATTCGCTGAATTTTGGAGTTATTGCAAAATCTTGACAGGGACGTGACGATTATGACCTATAGTCTATCTTAATGTGCATACGATTGCGACACATTTGTTTTAAGTTGATGCCAAAACTGTACTATCTTGATAAGCTTCTGTCACACAACTTCAATTTTGCACTCCAGCTTTTGTGAACGACCAACTCGGTCAGCCTATGGATCAATATGCTGAGAATAAAACAATGGTTGACACGGTGCTGAGCAGCCCGTGCAAATATGGGTCAAGTGCGTGTCGACAAGAAGCAATCAAATCAAATTTTTAAAGTTACCTTTTTCGGGCAGTTTCTTACGATATTACTTGTTGGTTAAGTCAATTTTAAAACAAGTTAACCGCTTGGGTTCATCGTACCTAATAGGTGCGAGCAATGTCTACGTTATGTAAGAAACAACAAAAAGTTAAATAGGATGGTTTTGTTATGTCAAACTAAAGGTAAAGAGAACGCCAAAAATGTAATTAGCTTGTTGTGCCAAAATTTTATGTATAATATAGTAACAAAGGGTATGATCTTGTCCTTTCCTTTCCTATCTCCTGTCAGATTTCATTTTCCTGAAATACACGACTAAAAAACACTACAGACTTCGCACATGAGATAAACCAGATAGGGAGGTGAAAACACCTAATGGTGAGACAAAACATGTTATAACTTACATACCCTCACTGGCGAACACGGACAGTGAGCGGTACAAAAGGCATCGGGTCGGCATGACCAAGGCGCATGGACAGCGCAAGCACTAACAAACACACAAAACACAAACACACAAACACAAACACAAACACTCTGAACGCCAACCAAAAGACACGCGGTACTTTTGATCCTTGTTCGAAAGGACATTACTGGAACACTGACACGCTCCACTGCATTGCGCTGGCAGATGTGGCGCAGAGTGAGGCACATCGCGTCGCGCAATGACCAAACCGTGGAGAACTACCCAGCATTGCCCAGTCTTACCATGTCCACATTTTGATTTCCCCAGCACGCCAACTGCAGGTTCGCGTTGCCGAGTCGACCGGGGAATCCGTGGGAATCCAGGGAATCCGATGCATATGTGGATTGCTCATTTGCTGCTTGAACTACGACATTTTTGTAGGCACGGCGTTTATTTTTCATGTACGCGTGGTACCGGAAATATTGTCACAAGCTCGACTGAGCGCAAGAGCGCAGGCCGGGGACCATCCACCAGCAGGGCAGCAAGTTCATCTCACACAGCATCAGCAGCAGCACGGGATTATCCCCGTGCCCGATCCCCTCTACCACAGAGCAGCCAATCCAGCCCGCCATTACCTCAAAAAGTGACCGGGCCACCTTGGGCGCCACAGGTGATGAACGATGATCTATGAAACGCAAGCTTGGCGGGAGCAACAGCAAAGCGTGTGTAGCATGTTAGACTTCCAGGATGATCAGCGACAACGACAGAGAAACTGCCACGCAGCAACGGGTCTGGCGCGGCGGCAGACCGGCACGGACAGCTACAAGAACTCCGAGCACCAGTCGTTCAGGCACTGCCAGCAGTTGGACGCCTGCATAACGTTGCAGTGAATCAGGTCCTGCAGCCAGCCGACGAACAGCTCCTTGTCCTTCTTCAGGACCAGGAACTGGCCGAGCACGATGTAGGCGCGGTCGAAGCCGTGGCTGACCAGCCGCTTGCCGAGTACGTCGGCAATGCCGGCTAGATCAGTCACGGGCTTTTCGCCCATCGGCTCCGCCACAAAGTTGCGGTGCTTTTGAGTGGTGGACGACATCCTCTTCCAGCCGAAGGAGCTTGGCGGGTACTGCTGCGACAGAGGGAGGCCTGATTACACACACAGGGCGGGTTTTGTTTATCCAGCTATGGTGTCGGACAGCTGAAATGTCGGTGCAAAACGCCTACATACACTTTTTGACACCGCGATTTCGTGTTTCTATGGTCTTTGCAAAATACGTGAACACCCCTGGACATAGCTGACCAATCGCACACAAGGCCCTAACTGTGTGACATATTCTGCACAAAAAAGCACACAAACAACCAAAGTACTGGCAACGAAATGGCTGCTCCAAAAATATCCAAAAGCAACGTGCTGGAACAAGCTCCATGCAAAGAGCTGGCTGGCCACGCCCAAGAACGGTGAAACAGGTCTCGTGAGCTAGTAAAACGCGGGCACCGATACTGACTGCCTGCCTCGGGTCCCGTTCCCCACCAAAGTCCGGTCACCTCGGGGAAGGCACCTGGCCGCCACCCTCACTCGCGCTCCCCTTCCCCTCCTTCAGCGCACGCAGCGATGCACACACACACAAAAGCTAGGTTGTCACCGCTCGCTTCACGCTCCGCTTGTTGTTGAGCGCCTGTGAAGATTCTCCATTGTTTACCCCTCTGATGCCGCCCTGAGAGGGGCGACGACGATAGGCAAACGCGCTCGCCATTCCGGCGGAATTGACCCATGAGAAAAGCCGCGGCGCCGCGCATGCGCGGTGCGAGTCTCCTTGGTCGGAGAAGGCATGGAAGACAAATGCGGCCCAGTCCTAGCGGATGCCGCTCCAAAAACCCGCTTTAGGCCAGCACAACGCGTGGGGCTCAGGGAACAGCTCAGTTAGCCAGTGCAGGAATGGACCAAGCCAAATCTTGTGGACCAATCAAATCGTGCGTTGCTTCTGTGACGGCCTCGTTGACAGACATGGCGTTGTGATGACATAGCCTGCTCATGAGCACGAACTTCTGGGCCTTAGCACGAAATGCAGTCAGTGACAGCATTTTGCTTTGTAGTCAAATTCGCTCACTGCCACTAGCGGCTTGACTAAATAAATTCACGAAATGAGATCATGCTGAAAAGTAATTCCTCTTGCATCTCTACATTTCAAGTACCCTATGACAATGACTTACGGGCATCACGTGAAAACGATATACACAGTGACCGCATTTTCTCTTTGGTAACAATGACGTGGGAGGGGGTCATTGCATCAACACAACTGACCTGTCGACGTTTGGAAACAACGCTGACACTCAGTGATCGAAACGCGCCAGGTCACGTAGTCACAAAAGATCAATATGGAACACATCTGAACTACCGCGGGCAGCTGGCACCGGCAGGTGGCACCGTCCGTCATGAGCTGGCACCGACACGTGGCACCGTCCGTCATGAGCTGGCACCGACACGTGGCACCGTCCGTCATGAGCTGGCACCGACACGTGGCACCGCCTGTCATGAGCTGGCACCGACACGTGACGCCGCCCGTCATGAGCTGGCACCGACACGTGGCACCGCCCGTCATGAGCTGGCACCGACGCCGGCCGTCATGAGCTGGCACCGACACGTGGCGCCGGCCGTCATGAGCTGGCACCGGCACGCGGCGCCTGCCGTCATGAGCTGGCACCGGCACGTGGCGCCGGCCGGCATGCGACAATCGGTCACGACGTGATCCGACTACGCACGAGCGGTATGGGGCCACCCAGGTATGAATATTTTAGGTGTCTGTTATCTCCTGTTATCCTGCCAGCCTCTGCCTGGGAGATCCGCGCGGCGGCAACACGCGTGCGCCATGCAGAATGGCGCGCTTGTGACGCGATCACGGTGGGCTACAACGGAAACTTGTGTCCTCTAAACTACTTACACGGAGAACACAATGCCTGGAGCAGCATCCTCCAAAAGCGGTGCCCACAACGGCCTAGCGCCCAGTGGCACAGGCACATGGAGGCCAATAGCTTCTTATCGCAATAACGTCTTTTCGCAGCGCTGAACTCGCGGGGCGAGAGGCAATCGCAAACCCACAGGTCGCAGTGAACCTCCCTTGCAATTCTCGAAAGCGTCCGGCAGGGCGGGTGCAATGGCAAGACCGCCCCAAAATATTCCCGGATGTGGCCCGTTACCCGTGAGCTACTCCGTCGGCATCTGAGCTGGGATGTGCTGGGTCTACCAGTGACGTCACCTGACCCAACGCCTCACTCTGGCGGCGCACCTCACTTCCTGGCGGGCAGGTCGAAGCTCTCCAGCGCCTGGTACTTGGCGAGCAGCTGTCGTTTCAGCGCCAGCTGGTCCCGCAGCGCCTGCAGCCGGTGCAGCTGGTCCGGCCGGCTGTACTCAATGCCCGGCGTCTTGCGCACCTGTGGTCGATGTCACTTTAGTGCTCCGCAAAACTTCCGCCGACAGCGGCGCTGCGACGTAAGATCTACGCTACACTTTTTCGACTATAAAAAGTCTGCCAACTTAATTATACCAGACATTACTTCTATTCTCCATACTTGCATTCGTCATTAATGCTACGCGACAAAACCTACGCTTCAAAAACTTATGTCATTACTTCCCCTGCAAAAAATGCTAGTCATTACTCAGACGTGGCGTTACTTCTTTTGAAACGAATATTATGTGACATTAGTGCTTTACGACAAAACTTAAGTGATGAAGCAGGTACACTTAAAAACTTATGATCATAATTACGCCGACTGCCAACATCTTTACTTGTACACGATATTGCCACTGAGGTCATTACCCATTCGCGACATATGTGGTATGCGACACAGGCCATAACTTAAAAATTATACCCCATTACTTCCACTCATAGGTCAGGCCTCGCCAAAATCCCGGAGGGAGCGAGCACATAGGAACACTCGGACGAGCGAGACCAGACTTCAAGTGCACACTTCACGGCAGTCTGGTCACACATTATCGCTGCTACAAATATTGTGATCGACACAGCTACGAAAGAAATAGTTCTCCGCAACATGTGTGGGACTGAAAATGCACATAATGTAAGGTCGTCGTGTTCCAAAATAAGTTTGGGGGCTTAGCAGGGAACTGACCAACCCTACATTGTGCTCACGCATTTTGGCTTTTGCACTCGACGCCTAAGTCATGGCAGAAGAAGTAATGTTGCGGGTACGTATAGCCTGTGCAAGTTTTTAAGTGGAGCACATATAGAAGTTTAAGGTTTAAGTACTGACAGGCACACAGTTACGCGACATACATTCTGTCGTTTAGCACCAAATCACGCTAAGTCTTTGCAGTAGCAGAAATATGTAAAAGTAATGACTACATAAGTTTTGCAGTAATAGTAATGGCGGGTAGAGGTTTTTGAAGCATAACATTCATCGCGTAGCACTAATGCCCCGTCTAAGTCATTGCAGTAATCTCGTGCATAAGTTATGACTGTTTAAGGATTCACAGTGGACGCAATGATGGGAACAAGTTATTTTTTAAAGTACGCGTTTTTTTTGTGTAGCACCAACGCCGCGTAAACCTCTTGGCAGAAGACGCAGTATCACCTATTTTTTAAGACTGATTTTGTGCGGCAAATGCAAAGACGGATGTAAGTCTTCGCAACAAACGTTTTGTCGCGTAGCACTAACGCCGCGTAGACGTACTGACAACATAAGCAATATCGTAGACATCTCGTCTGAAGGACTTTTTGCTGCAGCACCAACGGCGTGCAAGCCCTGCGGTCGAGGTGGAGTAACCCCTGCGGTCGAGGTGGAGTAACCCCTGCGGTCGAGGTGGAGTAACCCCTGCGGTCGAGGTGGATTAACCCCTGCGGTCGAGGTGGAGTAACCCCTGCGGTCGAGGTGGAGTAACCCCTGCGTTCGAGGTGGAGTAACCCTGCGGTCGAGGTCGAGTAACCCCTGCGGTCGAGGTCGAGTAACCCTGCGGTCGAGGTGGAGTAACCCCTGCGTTCGAGGTGGAGTAACCCTGCGGTCGAGGTCGAGTAACCCCTGCGGTCGAGGTGGAGCAACCCCTGCGGTCGAGGTGGAGTAGCCCTGCGGTCGAGGTGGCCGCGGAGTCAGCGGCGCAGGTGCTCCCATCCTGCCCGCGACGCTCTGCGGTCAGAGCTTTACTGAGCAACGACTCTGAGGTCATGCAGAACGCGTACCGTTGTTTCCCCACTTAGCTTTGCACGCCGCTTACATTAGCTTAACGCCATGACGCAACAGCCCACAACTGTTATTAAGCGGCAACAGCCCACAACTGTTATTAAGCGGCGTTGACAAAACCAAAACGACAGGACGGATGACAATGAGTGACCGTGAAAGGCCCCCCCCCCCTGACAGTATTCTAATATGGGTCGATAAATGATGCAGGCAGACCATTCTGTTGTCCTCTAATGTCCTCTTATGATAACTATATAAACACACACACACATGCATATATATATATATATACATACAGAATCAAGATACTATCAAGAGAACCTGATCCAGCAGCACCCATTCTGAATCACATTTCTCTGACAGCCCAGAAGCTGCTCTGCTATGCATGCAGGATCTCATGCCAATTGTTTCAATATGGCAAGCAGCCTTATATCAGCCTCTGTTATAAGTATATAATACCAACAGAACCGCAGCATTGGACAGTGAGTATCACAAAATGTGGGGCTGTAAGACCAGCATAACACGAAAAATGAGCCCGCATCACGAGAACACCTTCGGGGATGCATGTGGTTAATTCAATTCATGTCAAACCTACACTCCCATACTTCTTTCATGGACACAAGGACGAATCCATTGTCTCACTAAACCTAAATTCAGCCAATGCTACTTAATCATAATTTAAGCTGATTGATATAAAAAGTAGCTGTTACCTGTTCTCTTGCTTTGTCAAACTTCTTCTGAAGTTCCAGTATCTTTTGTGCCACCTCCTGTGATGATTTGTTGGTATCAGGTGTGTCCTTTTCAATGCTGAAAAACCAATCAGTAATAAATAGTTATGCAAATGATGTCACAAACTGCATTTACAAGCTCAGAAAGCACGACTCCAAACACACACTGGCAGATTACCAAAGCTGCCTGATCCCTTGCACTTTATGTTCAAATGAGGCTCTTCACATTTTAGTGATCCATGAAAAGAAACCTATATTTAGGGAAACCCTGGGAGACCAAACAGACCACTAAACCACAGTGCAAAACAAGTGATATCAGCTCACTGCCCACAACATTACTCACTGCATGTGTATCTATTCCTGTAGCTATGATTGTCCACAGTGAATGAATATCTGGTGAAAATGCACAACAATAGAGCAGCTTTTTACTCCCTTGAATACAGGCAGCATGGCAGTGAATGTGGGGTATTTTATAACAGACCATTACAGATATCTTCCATCAACTTCCTTAATGCTAAAGCAGGGCGCTGACCTAAGTTGGCCTAAGTAAACATTTGTTTTTAGGAACTTACTACCCAGCACAATCCTTGCTCCTCATTCAAGAGCAAATGAAACAGAGTGGGTTTTTGGTCACCATGCTCTTCTTGCTGTCAAACAAGGTCAATGACCTTAACTGAACACCAGTGACCTTTTGCCTATGACAAGTATCCAGGTTGAAGGCAGTTGCATAAGGTCAAGGAACACCTGGGCAATAACCTAGAATTGGACCTTATTTGACCAGGTCTAGCTAGGAAGCTCAAATTCTTAATGTCAGTTTGCATACAGCAAACCTACACTATGGAATTGTCTCTAATTCTCTTAGTTTTCAAGATATTTGGGTCAAACTGACCCCCACCCAATCATACATAATTCAACTGGTTTCCAAGGTGAGTGCTATTCTGGCTGAACTTCTGACTTTCTTTGGACATAAAGTGAGGGCATGGCCACCAAGTGTGCATATAATAAGGTTATTGCAACACAATGTAAGGCAACCCAGAAATGAGATTGCTTGTGTATTTTTGTTGAAGATTGTACATCTTATAGATATTTTTTAAGTGTAATAGTTTGCAGTTGTAAAACATACAGCTTTGCTTTGAGAAACTGAATCAGAATTTTATGCTTAAAAATGTATGATCTACACACAAAATATATAACATGAGAACATGAGAACACAGCAGCTAAATACAATGTTTTTATCAGGTAGGAATATGGCATAAAATGTGATATCGCACACCGACTGGGCGATGGTTGCCAGGACAGTTGGGTGGGGAGGTTGACCTGGGTGGCAATGGTTAGGTAAGGTCCAGTTAGGCTACATTACATTCTGGTTCCCTTTCTTGCTTTTCTTATGAAGACATTTTCACATAGCACTTGCAGATTGTCTGGGCCCTCAAACACAAATTCCAGCTTTTCACAATCATCTGACCACCCCACCTGGTGCTGCTCCATCTTGACTTATGGTGCAATACAGTGCATACTGATATTGGGTGAAGACATGCTATTTTAATTTTTTAATCATCATTATGTCCTTAAATCTTATTAATTCATCATGTTCTTTGGTAGCATAAGGTACCTGGCTTTTTTTTACTTGGGTACCTGTATTGCCGACGGTGGGGAGAGCTACGCTGGCTGCAGGGTTCCTGTACTGCCGTTATGGAGAAATGCTGTCAGGTATCAGCCGACGTAGTGACGTCACTGAAAATGGGTTTCCATCGATCGGGGTTCTTTTGGGCCAACTGAAGGCTACAAGGCATTTGCTAGCGATATGATGTCACTGGTATTCGACTGGATGTGTGACGTCACTGGTTGTGAGGCTTTAGGGATCTTTTGGGTGTAATGAATGCCGTAAAGCATCACCTGACGATATGTCGTCGCTGGCATTCAATGAAACATCAGGCGCAACAGGCCTTATTCCATCTTTACCTTTCGTACCTGTCTGCTGCAAGCATTTGCGTGTCGAATAAAAGCTTGACCGAATCACCTGAATGCGTGACGTCACTAATCATCACTTGATACGAGTGCACTTAGGCCCCACGGCCGCGGTGTATCATGTTCCGTGAAATATCACCAGGTATCGTGACGTCACTGATATTCGACTAAATATTGGTCGCAACAGGTCATGCTTCATTTTTACCTTCGTGCCTGTCTACTGCAAGCACTGGCGTGATGAATAAAAGCTACCAAATCACGTGAGTGTGTGACGTCACTGGTCATGCATTTTTATGGAACTTTGGGGGCCAACTGAGAGCCGTAAAGCATGACCTAATGATGTGACGTCACTGGCATTCGACTGTGTGTGATGTCACTTGTGATCAGATTTTACGGCCTCTTTTGGGCCGACGAAAGGTCATACGACATTAACTGAAGATGTGACGTCACTGGTATCCGAATAAAATTCAGGCGGGACAGGCCATGCTTCATCTTTACCTTTGGTACCTGTCCATTGCAAGCATTTGAATGCTGAAGGAAGGCTCTGCCGAACTACCTGAGTGTGTAACGTCACTAACCATTAATTTATATAGACTGCTTTGAACCTACCGTAAGCCACACCACATCAGCTGACCATATGACGTCACCGGTTTTCGTCTAGATGTCATGCGCAACAGGCCATGCTCTATCTTTGCCTTTCGTACCTGTTCACTGCAAGCATTCGCGCGCTATATCGAGGTGGTGCCGAACCATCTGAGTGCGTGACGTCGCTGGTCATGAGTTCATACAGGCTCACTTGGGCACCCCAATGCAACAAAGCATCATATCCTGTGAAGCATCGCGGGATGATATGACGTCACTGGTATTCGACTCAACATCAAGCGCAACAGGCCATGTTCCATCTTTACCTTTCGTACCTGCCTACTGCAAGCATTCGCGTGTTATATGACGTCAATGGTTAAGAGCTCTTACGGGCTCTTTTCAACCCCCTATATGGTATAATGCTTCAGCTGACGATATGATGTCACTGGTGTTCGACTTAACATCAGGCACAACATGTCATGTTCCATCTTTGCCTTTCGCACCTGTTAAAGTATCGGCGAGCCTAATGATGGCTCTGTCGAATCACCTGAGTGCGTCGTCATGAGTTTTTACAGGCTATTGTTGGCCGAGTGAAAGCCATAAGGCATCATCTAACGATGTGTCGTCACTGGTAATCCACTAAGTGTGTGACGCCATTGGTCATGAGTTTTCCCGGGCCTTTTTCGGCCGACTTAAGGCCATTAGGCATCAGGCAACGATATGGCGTCATTGGTATTCAATTAAGCATCAGGTACAATATGTCAAGTTTCATCTTTACCTTCAGCACCTATCTACTGCAAGTATTCGCGCGCCACATAAAGGCTCTGCCCAATCACCTGAGCGTGTGGTGTGACTGGTTATGAGTTTACGCGGGTTTACTCGGGCTGACTGAAGGACATCAAGCATCATCTGGCGATGTGACGTCACTGGTATTCAACTTAACACCAGGCGCGACAGGCCATGTTCGTCTTTATCTTTCGTACCTGTCTATTGTAAGCATTGACATGCTTAAGGAAAGCTCTGTGAAATCTCCTGAGTGTGTAATGTCACTGGTCATGAGTCCTTTATGGGCCGCTTTTTTGTACCTATAGGGTACAAGACATCAGTTGACGATATGACGTCACTGGTGTTTGACTTAATCTCAGGCGCAACAGGCCATGTTCCATCTTTGCCTTTCGCACCTCTATACTGCAAGTATTCGCGCGCTACATAAAGGCTCTGCCGAATCACCTGAGCATGTGGTGTAACTGGTCATGAGTTTACGCGGGCTTACTCGGACTGACGGAAGGACATCAAGCATCATCTGACCATATGACGTCACTGATATTCGGGCTGTGGCCCAGACTTATGACCGCTAGGCGGCGCCCTTGATTATTATTTAGCCATCAGGGCATTCCGGACCGTAGCTGCTCAGGGGCGCATCCTGTGATGTCGGGCGGAATAGCTTTGCATATACGTCGGTTTGTGGGCTGGGATCACCTTTGTTTTGTGTTTACGTTTGTTCAAAATTTTAGTCGTTGAAACAGCCCGTTGCGTTTGAAGCTGCTACTTAATGGTGCGCACAATAAAATTAGTGGGCTTAACTATGGTGCATCTCCCGCCTCTGCTGCGGAATTTCGTAGCCATAGGTGGCCAAGTGACCTCCTACCAACTGATGATCAGTGACGTCACGTACTCAGGTGATTCGGCGGAGCCTTCATATAGCACGCGAATATTTGCAGCAGCCAGGTACGAAAGGCAAATATGGAACATGACCTGTTGCGCCTGATGTTTAGTCGAGCACCAGTAACGTCATGCCGTCCGCCGATGCATTACAACCTATAATGGGTTCAAAAGAGCCCATAAAAACTCGTGACCAGTGACGTCACAAACTCAGGAGATTCGACGGAGCCTTTATTCAGCACGTCAATACCTTTAATAGACAGGTACGAAAGGTAAAGAAAGTACGTGGCATGTTGGACCTGATGTTAAGTCGAATAACAGTGACGACATATCATCCTGTGATGCTTCACGGGAGGTGTTGCTTTGTGGCCTTGGGCGGCCCAAGTGAATCCGTATAAACTCATGACCAGCGACGTCACCCACTCAGATGATTCGTCTGGAGTTTAGTCGATTACCAGTGACGTCATATCGTCAGCTGATGCTTGATGTCCTTCAGTCAGCCCGAGTAAACCTGCACAAACTCATGACCAGTTACACCACACGCTCAGGCGAATCGACAGAGCCTTTTTGTAGCGCACGAATACCTGCAGTAGGCAGATGCGAAAGGTAAAGATGAAACATGGCTTATTGCAATTGATGTTAATTCGAATACAAGTGACGCCATAACGTTATCTGATGCCTAATGGCCTGAACTCAGCCAAAAAAGGCCCGTTAAAGCTCATGACCAGTGACGTCACACACTCAGTGGACTACCAGTGAAGTCATTTCGTTAGCTGATGCCTTATGGCTTTCGCTCAGCCAAAAATAGTCGTAAAAATTCATGACCAGTGACGTCGCACACTCAAGTGACTCGGCAGAGCCATCATTTAACGCACCAATACTTTACAGGTACGAAAGGCAAAGATGGAACATGACCTGTTACGCCTCATGTTAAGTCAAACACCATTGGCATCACGTCGTCAACTGATGCATTTTTCCCTATAGAGGGTTCCAAGGAGCCAGAAAAAACTCATGACCAGTAACGTTACACACCCAGGAGACTCGACAGAGCCTTCATTCAGCACGTCAGTACTTGTAATAGACGGGTACGAAAGGTAAAGATAGAACATGGCCTGTCGCGCCTGATGTTAAGTCGGACATCAGTGACGTCATATCGTCAGCTGATGCATCATACCGTTTGGGGGTACAAAAGGTCCCGTAAAAAGCTCTTGACCAGTGACGTTACTTACTCAGGAGACTCGACAGAGCCTTCATTCAGCACGCCAATACCTCCAAGAGACAGGTACGAAAGGTAAGGATGGAACATGGCCTGTCGCGCCTGGAGTATAGTCGAATACCAGTGACGTCATATCGTCAGCTGATGCTTGATGTCCTTCGGTCAGCCAGAGTAAACCCGCGTAAACTCATGACTAGTTACACCACACGCTCAGGTAATTCGGCAGAGCCCCTATGTGTCGCGCGAATACTTGCAGTAGATAGGTGCGAAAGGTACAGACGAAACAAGGCTTAGATAGAGCATGGCCTGTTGCGCATGATGTCTAGTCGAGACCTAGTGTCATCATATCGTCACCTGATGCCTTGTGGCCTATAGTAGGTTCAGAAGAGTATACAAATTAATGGTCAGTGACGTACACACTCAGGTAATTTGGCAGAGCCTTCCACGGCAATGCTTGCAATGGACAGGTACCAAAGATAAAGGTGGAACATGGCCTGTCGCGCCCGAAGTTCATTCGAATACCAGTGACGTCACATCGTCAGTCAGTGCCGTATGACCTTTCGTCGGCCCAAAAGAGGCCGTAAAATCTCATGACCAGCGACACGCACGGTCGAATGCCAGTGACGTCACATCGCTAGCTGATGCTTTATGGCCTTCAGTTGGCCGCAAAAAATCCGCCAATACTTGCAGCAGACATGTACGAAAGGTATAAATGGAGCATGACCTGTTGGCTGATGTTCAGCCAAATACCAGTGACGTCATATCGCCAGCTGATGCCTTACGGCATTTCGTCGGTCCTAGAGGACACGTGGAAACCCACGACCATTGACGTCTTACAATCGGTCGTATAGCAGTGACGTCGTTAGCTGACACCTTGTGGTCTTCAGTTGGCCGAAAAGCACCGGTGAAACTCGTGACCAGTGACGTCACACACTCAGGTGGTTCGGCAGCTTTCATCCAGCACGCCAATGCTTGCAGTAGTCAGATACAAAGGTAAAAATAAAGCACGGCCTGCTGCGCTCAGTATTTATTCGAATACCAGTGACGTCACGCTATCCGGTGATACTTCGTAGACCATTACACACCGTGGTCGTGGGGCCTAAGTGCACCCGTATGAAGTGATGATTAGGGACGTCACACATTGAGGTGATTCGGTCAAACCTTTATGCGGCACGCAAATGCTTGCAGCAGTCAGGTACGAAAAGTAAAGATGGAACGAGGCCGGTCGCGCCTGATGTTTAATCGAATACCAGTGACGACACATGGCCAGCTGATGCATTACGGCATTCGGTGGACCCAAAAGAGCCTTACAAACTCACGACCCGTGACGTCACATACCCAGCCGAATACCAGTGACATCATGTCACATTCAAAAGCCTTATGGCCTTCAGTCGGCCCGAAAGGACCCCCATCCCGATCGATGCAAAACCATTTTCAGTGACGTGACAATGTCAGCCGATGCCTCACAGCTTTTCCCCCGGACGACAATACTCGAAACCCTGTAGCTAGCGTAGCTCTTCCCTCCGTCGGCCATACAGGTACCAAAGTAAAAAATTACCAGGTACCTTCCTTTAACAACACCATGAACACTATTATCAATGGAAACCATGCTCAAAAAACATTTTTGTGCAAACACAACCTGAAAATTCCACATGATTTGGCTGAGTCATCACACCAGCAGGAGGTTCACAGCAGATCTTGAGATGGCATTGAGCACTGTTCCTGGATTACATACAGAATGGCATATTTCCACGTATATGCTCACCATGCCCATGCACCCAAAAAACTGCAAACAAATGTTTGATGCTTAGCGAGACCGGCACGGAGCGGACATAAGGATCTCTTTCCCAACCTGGCCTGGACGATCCCCGCAAACAATGAAAGCAGCTCGCGATGCAAATGACGATAGCGCGAAATCATAGTTACCCTCGTATAATGTCGTAGATAACTGGCAGAAAATTGGTGTCTAATCCTTCCACCTTTCTTCCACTTACAGACATGCCCCAACCAACCACACGCTAATTCTTGCGCAACGGGGGCGGCGCAGCCAGGCAGCGATGACGCTCAGCAATCGATTCGCGCCAGGTAGCGTATGCGTGCGGATGAACCCTTCACATTGGCTCGACACACAAGAGCATTTTTAATAATATTTTGAAATGCAAAAAATATATGACTAGCGGGAGGAGCTCTTGTAAATGGTGCGTTCTTAACGCACCACAGACATGCTGATGCATCGAGAGAAAACAGCGAATGATTTCTCAATTTCCCGTTGTTCTCGTGTAAATTGGGCAAATATGGAACAAATGGATGGAGTTAGGAGAGGACAGTGGAATGAAACTGAAATATGCATATTCGTTATATACGAGCGATTTCCATAACTGGGTCCGCTTGGTGATGTGACTAGGCTGGCGTTTAATATGCTTTTCAGCCGTACATTTAGCATAAAGATAGCAAAGCAGCTGATCCATATTCCAAGCTGCAAAAATGAAGCGTGGTTGATCATAAGTGTGTCAGCGCCTGTGAGTAGTCTGAGGATGACATACCCTCCCTCCCCCCCCCCCATACACCACGCTTTTGTTTTGTGTCAGGCCGATCCTCACAAAAAGCAATGCAATTTTTTGATGGGTGCTCACTGACCTCTGACCCCTTAAGACGGTCCTGGCAGCATCCTGAAACCACATGTTGTTGTTTGCAACTTAGGGCTGTCAGTAACTTATGCTACTTTATAATGTGACTTCAGAAAAAGGCAACTTGCATCATGTGACGTGTGCAAGTGATGTACCGACATTATGTTATGTTTGCAAATACTGCATGCCAACTACTTCTTCAAAGATTTTGGAGTTACATGTATGTTTTACTGGCATGAAGAATATTTTTGGCATTTGTTGCACTTTGGTAGACTTTTTGACTCTGCTGGTGATGTTTGAAAATGTTTCCCTGATGTGTTTCAATGTGACGCTAGCTATGATGTGGAATACAGAATGTAAACATGCTGTCCTGGGACAATTGCTTAGGTCTGGCTTCTTGTAAAACTTTCCACCATTCCTTAAAGGACCCATGCAGACCAACTGCCAGGTCATTATCTCTGACCATTCACTTTCCGGGCCCACTGTGTAACGATGTAACCGCACTGTGATTTTCTTATCCACCAATGTCAATGTCTGCCATTTTGTCATAGAGTGGACTGATTTATTCACGTGTCGCTTTATGTAATATCACTCATGCAACGTTTATTTTGTGTATGTTTTAAATGACAACCAAAATTGCTAACTGAAAACCACCCTTTGGGCTCTTTTTGTGGTTGCATACAGCATGATATAGACTAATATATGCCTTGTAGTAACTTAAATTGCATGTAAATTGACTGGTGAAGGACTGTTGGCTGGTCAGTAGCTGCAGATTGTTGCATAAGCATGTTGGCTATATGCTGGCTCTGAGTGGCCTTGTGATGGGTGATAACAACTCATATAACTGGCTTGTTGATGATAAGTGAGCTATTGTTGTGGCTGTTTCTGCATGATATATGGCTATGTTCTTCATAAATTTGTATTCTGGTGTGACTTCACCACAGCTTACCATGACAATGTGGCAGGGTACTCTGATGCACTTGTAAATTATGGTTACATTCAACTGTATTACTCCACTTGAAGTTTCATACACACACATATCAGACACCAGCCCATGCCAACAGCTGGCATCTATCGCCCGCTGACCGCCTGGTGAGCGTGATCCACATGGATATAGTGCACTTGCTCCCGGCCAACATCGCCATCGCACAGAGCGCCCACGATGGCCCGAGCTGTTGCGCCATCGCGTCTGCCTAGGGCAGACTGCGACCTTGGCCGCTTCTGACGACGGGATGTGAACGTGGGCTGCGTACTGACCTTGGCGTTCCACGCTTGGCCTCCGCCCGTGGCGGCCGGCAGGTCTTCTTGGCCGTGGGCAGCTCCGATCGCCAGCAGCTGGTCCACTCCCCGCGTCTTGGTGTGCACTTGTTTTAGAACATTGTCTGATGTGGAGGGCACGCGCACTAACTGCTCTGCGTACTTTGCCATAACGAGGCGCTGGTATGAGCTGTGACGACCTGGTCGGTCGCTGGTCTCCTGCGGCTCATCTGACGTGTTCGGAAGGATGATGTCGGGCCTTGGCCTTGGGCCTTGCCATGCCTGAGCGGCCACATCGGTGACTAGGAGGCAAACCAAGTGGATGTGTTTGCACACTAGTTTCTGTCCCACCAGTCGACGCAGTCACACCGGAACTGGTGCACACAGGCGCTGCACTCCTGGCACCGCTGGTCGCAGTTCTGATCAGTGCAGCGGCGGTGTTCCAGTGCCACGGAGTGGTCCGGCGTGGCGTCGCCGCTGGCGACCTTCCAGGTAGGCAGCAAACTGTCCGGAACGAATACGGCGCAGGGTTTGCCGGAAGCCACTAGGGCCGCTGCCGTGGCATGCCGTTTGGCGATCTGCTCGCCGTGCAGGCTTGGAGCTTGCTTCAGCTGCCTGCGGCCCATTTTCACCATCGGGTCGGTTTCGAACTTGAGAAGAGCTGGGATGCACCTGAAATGCAGTGTAATGCTATGACGTTGCCTCATTTTCCCGGCCACCGTCTACTGTTGTGGCTTCTCTCGATTTTTGCTCTCTTTGTGGTCCATCGGACAAAGCAGCCAGTGGTCTAACCCTGAGGCAAAGGACGCAAATGTGGACGGCTCTCATCAAATAAACGCGGCGGAAACGTATTTGATTTGTTCAGAGCTAGCTAATATTTATATTTCTGTTCTGATTTTCATCATAGTAATTCCTATCTAACTCATCACTCGTGCTCGTGTGATCAATACCTTTGAACGACACTCTATGGTAATCTCGGTAAACATGACCTATGACTGGACTGAAAGGATGTTTGTTGGATGGCACGTATCATGCTTCCTACCAGGTTACGTTAAGTACACATGAAAATTGGAATTATGGCAAACGATATATGTAGCTTAATGATAGAGCGTGACACAATGCAGCGCTTAGAAAGGGTGCCGGACCTTGTATAGAAAACATTATGAGGGGTGTGGAATCGAATGGTAAATGTTGAAGTGTGTGAAGATTTTTTAAAGATGTTCTTTATTAACAACTATTTTGCGTCATTATATTGAAAATTATAATATGCATATGTATATATATATATATACATATATATATATATATATATATATATATATATATATATATATATATATAATTTAACAACTGTATCAATGCAAGTGCTGAACACCTGCTATGGTCAGCGTTATGTGCGATTGTAGAAATAAGTCACAAAACTCCAACAGGAACATCGGGTTTTTAACATGTGCTGGGGTGGAGGTAGGTCAATTTGCCCCCCCCCCCCCCCCCCCCGGTTTTTCCGGAATGATTTATGAAAAGCGCGGCATAGCCGCGCCAAATTTTGCATACCGTTGCCAAATGAATGCCGGATTTTGGGCATCAACATTAGATGCACCTTGTAAGGTCGCTGGCCTATTGACCTATGACGAGTTAAAGTTAGGCCATAGATTCAGCGAAGGCAATTTTTAGGGAATTGTCCAATACGATGGAATGAAGGGTTGTTAGACGAAGCCGCAGATCTGTGACATCTACGGCTTCTCAGGTACCCAATTTTTTATTTCTCAGACATTCAAAAGTTTAATCAACAAATTCCTTCGACTTGAGGTCAGGTATGAAAGTTTTATTAATATTAGGGGCCCGAACACGACCCAGTCAAATATTTTCCTTTTAGGAAAATACCGCCTAGCGTAATTTTTGACGCTTATTCGACTGCAAAAATTAAAGCAGTCTTGCATGATTTGGGTCATCATGGCTTTTTTAAACGTCAAACAAGGTCACTGGCCTTAGATTAGCACCAGTGATAATTTGCTTAGAAGAGACATCTAGGTTCCCGACGGTTGCATGAAAAGGTATGGAGCACATTGGACACCAATCTGGAGTTTGACCTGGTCTGACTTTATTTGACCTGAAGATCATGACCAAGCAACCTCAAATACTGACACGCATGAGTTCACATACAGCCCCACCCAGCCTACGAATTTGGTGTATCTAGTCCTCTTAGTTTTCGAGATCTCAGCGGGTCAAATTAGCGCCCATCCGAGCGAAGGGTATTCAACCGACCCCGGGGGCATGTTGAAGTAGTTTCCTTGCTTTGTCGCCGTTAGACAGGCTTTTATTTCTGAGACGTACGTTGAAGTAACAGGCGACATCCTTAACAAATAAAGCGGTTTTTATCCTCATGGGGCGAAAGCTGACGAAGTTGCCATGCCGATAATGCACAAAGTAATTCATCACAAGAACACAAGTTGGCATGTAATCCCCGCGCACTACATGCAGCGCATTAAATAGCAAGTTCTGTATTCCAGTTTTCCAAGGCTACTACGTTACCATGGAATGACCCAGTCGTAATCCCATTCATTTATTTCCAACTTACTCGGTAGTGGCATGTGTCATCCTGCTGTTACGAGAAAGCGTGGCGAGTAGTCCAAATGCGGCGCCAGACACCACGATCGTTAATGGAGTATCATGAGCAGCCCTCAGTGCGTGTCGTTCTGGGATTTCCTGGGCATGGGTGACCAAAGGACAGCTGGATGCACACACCTGCTGTATCGGAGTGGTCCGAGATGCGACATGGGCGCGGACTGCTGCCGGCGAAGCGCCGAGTACAAAATAAATGACAAGACGTCGCGAGCGGGTGTACCAATGCACGAGAACGCACACATCGGAATGCATCACAGGAAACATGTTTACGGGGTGTTCACAATTCGATTGTAATTCCGTGATGGAAGAATATAATTTCTGGTTGACGTGCCGTAAAAAGCGGCTTCCACGTGCCTCTGGTATTACAGAATGGCTCTCGTAGTTTTTTTTTAACAATAACCAAAAGTGTTAGGGGCGTATCTGGCGTTGCAATGATGCTGCAAAGGGCAACGACGCCCCACAGCAAGTGTCTCGCTGGCCTCCAAATATGCATACGGCTGTTTGGCAGACATATAAACTCGCTGAAAGCATTGGTCGTTCCCATGCCTCAAACGGTATTATGACGACACAGGGCGCTATT